TACAGTAAATATGTGTAAGTATGTATTTGAGAATTGAGAGGGATAAGCAATAAGCATAAGAAATGAAAAACAATCGTTCTTTCAAGTTTATTGGAGTGGATATGGCATAATATATTTTTTTGTGTCATGTTAAATTTCTACTGATTAAAAAACTGTTTTCAGCTTAAGTATTTCAGGTGAATGGTATATATGATTTCGTTTTTACCTGGACTGATTGTCACTGGTTGAATGTATTAAAAGGTGTCATATAACTTTGTCTGTTTTAAAATGAAATTTCTTTTTGAACCTGTTGCACAGTAAATTATTTATTATCATTCTGGATTTAGCTGTATTTCCAATATATCTGCTATAATTAAGTAAAGAAAATACACCACTAATTCTTTTTACAAAGTGACTACTTCATAAATGACTTCAGTATTCAGTGAGTAAATACTGAAAGTTTTACAGAAATCCATTATTTGATTTTGGTAGATTTTTCAAATTTGAGGTTATTTTTTCATATTTGGCAATGAAAATTTAGATTGATCATCCTCTTAGGGTGTGATGGACAAATTGTCTAAATTAAGCAAAAATGAAAATGACACTGACATCACATTTTAACAGATATATTTACCAAAATTACACAAAAATATCTTGAAATACTAAAGAGTAAATATATTCATTAAAATCACCATTGGCTTCAGCCACAGTCTCCAGACAACTTTGGAATCTCTTCCAACTCTTCTGGATGGTCTCCCTGCTTAAGTTGGTGAATGCTGCCATAATCCTTGCCTTCAGTTCATCTTTGGTGTTATAAAGAGTTTTGTTGGTCTCTCACACAACTACACCCTACACATAATAATCAAGGGGGTTGCAGTCTGCAGAGTTAGGTGTCCAGATGTAAGAAGTAACGTAGTCACAGAAATTGTCTGACAGTCAGGACTGGGTTCTCCTGCTTGTGTAGTATGGTGCAGAGTCCTGTTGCCAGATATAGGGTCTTCTAGCAATGACTCTCTTTACCCAGGCCAGCACTACCTCCTCAAGGCACTTGATGTAGGCCTCCATGTTGAGTTTGAGGCCCTGTGAGGAAAATGAATGGAGGCATAATGTGATCACTACAAACATCTTCATAATCACCATTAGACTCATCCAACTCTTTCTGAATCCTCTGTACTCGCCTCAGATTGACACCCAAACTCTCTGAAATGTTGGTATTGGAGCTTCCAGTGTAAATTCCAAGTAGTACAGCATGCCATTTCCAAATTTCTGGCAGAGTGAATTGTGTCATGGTGCTCTTTTTTTCACGGAAGGTGCCCAACTGACCCTACTATACTGTGCAGTCAACAAAATAAAAAATAAACACTGTGCATGTGCAAAATTAAAAATATATAATGACGACAATTTATCCATCGCATCCTGTGACACTTTTCACTTTCAAAGAAGTTAATTCTGTCTATACAGAAAAGATACTGAATTTTTGTTTTGATATATTTGCTCCTTCAAGATCTTCAATGCTTTTCTACCATCATCATTAGTAATGCAAATAATTAAGTAAAAATCCATATCCAGGCATTGAACCAACTCTCCTGTGGTGTCATCATTCTCTTTACTATAACTTACAATTTCTTGACAAACTTGCATTGGTAATATAATGTGAGAAAACTTCTAAAGTTAAATATAACGTAAGAATTTACTTTCCCATAATATGTAATTGTTTTTGTTACTATTTAACAATGGGTTGGATCTGTTAACTCTATAACTGACTGGAATTTAAGACATTTTGCTTGACTTAAATGCAAAATAAATGAAGCAGCAATATTATTATCCACAGTGTTGTCAGTTGAAATTTTTCCAAGTTGATATTACAGTAAAATAACTCCAGCATGTATTTCATTTCAATATGTATATATATATATATATATATATAGCTTATCCCCAAATTTATATATGTGTGATCACATGTTAGTGCAAGCTCTGCTTGAAATGTAAGATCTCATGTTTATTCATGTTTATATTTCAACACTGAATTATTATAATCATCATTTACTTAAGGTCCCAAGAAAAGCCCTCAACTTATGTAAGTGTTCTCAAAGCAAATTTTTCGCATATTACTCTCCCAACAAACGCTGTAGCCAAAAATGCCCGAATTTTCCTTTCACCGAATCGAGAACACCAACTGCTTTTATCGGCAGAACCTATTTTTTCATTCGTTGACAGCTGGGATAGGATGCTCCGTAATTTGCATATCAATATCCACTTATAGTGACTCCTGCGACGGACTTGTTTCTTTTTCCATCACTGAATACACGCGACGCACTGTCGCTTGGGTTGACGAGGTAAGTCGCCGTTTTCTTCGCTATAAGATTTTTGCTGACTACTTTTTGGTAATCCTTCTTTGGCAGATCGCACACAAAACACGAACTTTTTTCCGAGGTACCTGATTATCTCTTTCACTACAACTTAATAACATTCTTTGGAGTGCGGGGCCTCTTGCATTGCAGTAACTTTCTCTTGAAGAGGAACTATGTCTTCTTTTTTGATTCTACTGCCAAGATTGGTCATCTCTGAAAGAAAGAGTTCTACATTTGGTCTTTTTCAGTGTAGACAATACTTTCTGAAGATTAATAAGTTGGCTTGTATCATCATTTCCCAAAAACAAAATATCATCCATTCCCTCTTTACAGAAAGGAATGTCCTTCTATTGTTAATTTATTTTACATTGAAGGATGCCTGTGGCACTGTGTACATCAAATTACTAGTGAGTGGGATTGAGACAGACCATGATGAATTTGAAATAGTGTGCAGCTCTTGTGTTTCTTCATAGAACTTCAGCTGATGCACAGTTCTTTTAGATATGCTATAAAATTTTGTAGAAATATATTTGAATTGGTATTCAGAAAATGAGAATTTTGTAGAAATATATTTGAATTGGTATTCAGAAAATGAGAACTTTGTAGAAATATATTTGAATTGGTATTCAGAAAATGAGAACTTTGTAGAAATATATTTGAATTGGTATTCAGAAAATGAGAATTTTGTAGAAATATATTTGAATTGGTATTCAGAAAATGAGAATTTTGTAGAAATATATTTGAATTGGTATTCAGAAAATGAGAATTTTGTAGAAATATATTTGAATTGGTATTCAGAAAATGAGAATTTTGTAGAAATATTTTGAATTGGTATTCAGAAAATATAATTTTGTAGAAATATATTTGATTCAGAAAATGAGAATTTTGTAGAAATATATTTGAATTGGTATTCAGAAAATGAGAACTTTGTAGAAATATATTTGAATTGGTATTCAGAAAATGAGAACTTTGTAGAAATATATTTGAATTGGTATTCAGAAAATGAGAATTTTGTAGAAATATATTTGAATTGGTATTCAGAAAATGAGAATTTTGTAGAAATATATTTGAATTGGTATTCAGAAAATGAGAATTTTGTAGAAATATATTTGAATTGGTATTCAGAAAATGAGAATTTTCATAAATTCATAAATTCATAAAATGAGAATTTTTCAGCTGCTACATCTGTAAAGTCATTGAACAAAGTTTATTTAAAAATATAGAAAAGTTTATTTTTCTAGGAATGGTAAATAGTTGATTGAAGAAAATTGATCAATTTTAATTTGTTCCTTAACATTATTTAAAGGAATCCAAAAGAGAATCTCTTCCATTTTTTTTTTTTTTGCTACAATAGTTTTTCTTATGAATCAAAACAAATGGAAACATAAAAATACAAAATACTTCTCAGCACTTTTTAAATTTTTTTGAAGAGAAAGTTTTTAATCTTTGAAATAATATTTAAAAACATTTTTTCTGTCATAATTTCTATGAAATCATTGATATCTCAATTGTTATTTGTTTGATTTTCATAAGATTTAATTGTTAAATTTGTCTTACACACAGAATCTTGTTTCATTCAAATGAGAGATAAAGAGTAATATAATTATATTTATATTTCATTTTTTTTTTATCCATTCATATATCAAACCACTTCCCACAAAAATTCCTTTCATCAAATGTCTTGTGCATAAAAACAAAATCTTTCATATTTTCACTGTTCCTTTGATTTGTGGTTTTGTAAGTCATGAGTAACAAAACATGGTAGAATCAGATTTTAGTCGAAGTAAACTGTGTTTTAATGGCTACTACTTAAACAGTTCAGTAACAAAACATATTTACCTAATCTCACTTTAAACTGAAAAGACAATTGAGAATTAAGATTTGTCTCATTTATTTATGCTATTACCTGTATTTTGCTGAGAGTAATGAAAATAAATGAATTTTGCTGAGAGTAATGAAAAGATAAAATACTGTCTTGTAGAATTTCTGCTTTCCCTTCTGATAGAAAAATCAATTTTCTTGATGAAAATGGATTTGCATAAAATAATTTTACCTCTCAAATTGAAAATGTAAATTCTTCATATGGTTTATATTAAGTTACAACAAATTTCTTCTTTGATCAAAGCCCAAGTTGAGCAGTAATTCAATCATCCATATTTGGTACCAGTTTAACTTAAAACTATTTTCTTGCAATAAATCACATTTCAGTTATTTCCAGTTTCAACAACAAAATTTATTTCATGATTTTTAATAAAAGAAAAATTAGAAAATTAAATAAGATTGAGATTCTTGTTGCTACAAAAATATTTAAATATTTAGATTGAATAAAAAGTTTTTACATAAAGAAAGATTTTTGGTTAAAATTGGTTTCTAGCCAATTCCCAACAGTCAAATGAATCTCAACTTATTTTAATCTCATTCAGAATTTTATCTAAAACTTTAAAATATTTATTTAAAAACTAATGTTTCTAACTTATAAACATGTTTTTTTGAGTTAAATGTGTTTTTTTTTTCCAGTTATTTGTTTGTCAAATTTTGATTTGCATTAATTTTCAATATGTGTATTTTTGAATCCTATGCAAAATGAATATTCATCTTAAACATATTTGTATATTCCAGTTGATGATAAAGGAGGTTGGGAAAGTTTTGAAATCTTGGAGAAGGGTAGTCATGTGTTCCCATTTCTCTATCGTCTTCCTCATTCACTACCCTGCTCATTTGAAGGACCAGACACATTTGTTCGTTATACTGTGCAGGGTAAAATCACTGGCAGGGATTACGAAGTCAATACTAAGGAAAAACCTTTCAGTATCTTCAAGGATTATGATCCTCGGACTGAACTCTCTTTGGATGGTGAAATGGATCCAGTAAGTAATTGATTGATACTTATTAGTTTTTGCATCAATTCTTTGAATAAAGAAGCCTGAAAGAAATTAACCATCTTTTTCATTTGTACACCATCTTCTCATAATATCTCATTTTATTACATTGGAAAGTAACCTTAAGTTCATGTGGTTCTATTTCTACCAATCATTCTTTCTGTCTCTGGAGAGCAAACAAAAATTAAAAAAAAAAATTCTGTTTCAGTAAAAGAGAGAAAATAAACTAGTCAAAAGGAAAAGAGTACTAAACTGCTATGTGATATCTGTTCTCCTGTATGACAGTGAGTGCTGAATGATCTGCTCAACGATGAAGAGGAGACTTGAAGCAACAGAAATGTGGTTCTACAGAAGGATGTTGATGATACCGTGGACCAAACATGTGAGCAACAACAAAGTTTTGGAGAAAATGGAAACAAAAAGGGAACTAATATTTAACATCAGGAAGAAACAGTTGAGGTTTATGAGGCACATAATGAGGAAGGTGGGCTTGGAAAATCTGATACTCACAGGACAGATAGAGGGCAAGAGGAAAGCAACACATAATACACATGGTGAGCTTGAATAAATGAATAGGGGAACAGGGTTTAGGAGAAATAAAAAAAAAGACAAAGTTTATTATAAACTACAAGGGACAGGAAATTGTGGAGAGCCACGATCATCTATGACCTGAGAAATAAAGAAAGCAAACAATTTGATCACAAAAATATTAAATCCTACTTTGAAGAGAAGAAAAGAAAATCAACATATGGATAAGATCTTAACAGCCAATGAGATTTAATGGGAATTTAGCACGTTTTTTTTTTTTTAATGTATCATAATGTATGGCTCGAGTGTGTTGAGGTTGGGGTGGGGGAACACTTAATTGATTGCTTTCCCAGCAACTAAGGAGGTAATAGACAGAGAGGGGGAAAGTGACAGGAGTTAGCAAAATAACACTTCCTCAGAAACCACAGCAACTTTTTATAAAGACTTCGATCTTGACCAGTTGCAGAGAGGTCTGTATCGTGATGTGCTAATGTGTCCCACTGTTAATGGGGGGAAAATCCAGATGTAACTGATCCACATGTAATGCAGGCCCTCTTTTGTATCTGTACTGATGTGCCACAACATCCCTTTTTGAAAGTTTATTAGTAAATAAAACACTAAGCTATGTTATTTGGAAATGCAAATATAAAAAAAAGATACCTTCAGTCAACATTATATTAACAAACTTTGTTTTGTCATCAAACTAATTTGATATTAGTGAAAGAATCTAAAGATAAAACAAATCTTTAATCTTAGAAAACAAAGGATAAAACCTGATTAATATATCAATTATACTTATGGAAATCAACTGAAGAAAAGGCCATTTATACTGATTAACTATATTACTTAATATATATTAACTATTATTATTTAACTAACATTTAGTATTTGGGTGAATGCATATTTCAAGGTTTTATCTTTGTAAATTGAATAACAAAACAAATGTAAAAATTTCTTTAAATTTAATGTAAATTCAATTGTCTTTATTAATAGTCTGTATGCTTTGATGTATTAAGTTTCATGGAGGGCTAATGTCACAGAATACAATTTCATAATAAGGGGGTTTATAAAATTATACATATATACACACACACACACAAACAAGGTTTCTGGAGAAAACATCTAGACATTTAATATTAGCTAAAAAAAATAGCCTATCTAAAGGAAATGGCACCGGAATCCCTTTGCATCTTCACTCATTTATCACAGAATCCCTTTTACTTTTCAAGGCCGTCTGTAAAATTTTCTTTTTGGATCATCATCATCTGCTTTGTTGCATTCTTTTTAAACTCATCGACAGAGTTTCAACAGCCATTTTAACTTTTGAAACATCCAGAAGTTGCAGTGAGATAAGCCAAAGCTGGAAAGCAATGACTGAAAAACCTGGGAGAAACACTTTGCCAAAAATCCCAAAAAAAGACAAAAAGAATCTACTCAGTTACACAAAGTCACTAAGTGGTGTATCACTGGTGAGTAATCCCATTGGATAATCTCTGTTGCCACATGGACAGTAAGAGGTTCTCTATTTGATTGCTGAATTACACCAAAGGTTACACAACTGGTTCTTGAGATATTCAAAATGGTTGGATACTTTCTTGATATAAGTTTTGGTCATTCCATTTTGGATGAAAGCAACTTCCAAGAATATATTCATAGATAATTAACCATTAATTAAGAGAGAAGACTTAAAGATTTTTTAATATTTTCATGCCTATTCATGTCTCACCCTTCCAATGTAGTCAACGTTTGATATCAGTTGCAAAATTATAGAAAGTATCAAGTGGAAGAACAACATAGAAATAGAACAAAATGTGTGAAGGATGAAAACACGAAAAGCAGATAATTTGAGAATTGAAACAAGGTTCCTTAAGATTTCAGCTGATTATTTGGTGATCGTTCCATTCTGCCAATTTTTAGACTCACAGCTACAATTTTCTTAAAGATAAAATAAGAAAGGAAATGAGGGAGGGGATCTGGGTAATCTCACAACATACATATTTTAAATAGATTATATTTAGACAGTAGCAAACAACTTAGAAAAGACATTAAATGAAATTACTAATAAAATTAGAATTAATATGGACATATGGATTCTTCACATTTGGCTTGCCTAAATATTTGACCATAGCAAAAATGAATATCTGATAAGGAGATGAATTCTCTGTGGTCTAAATAATTTAAAGTAAAAAAAAAAAAGGTATTAAAAACTTTAACTAAGCTATAACACACACATATCTCAAGAGGGTTCAGAATTTTTGCCTATCACAATGAATGGGCATTCTCTCAGAGAGGCCCCATACCTTGAGCACCTATTAGGATACATGCTCAGTCTATACTGCAAATGGAACACGTACATATGATTAATCGCTAAAAGATGATGGAAAAATGGTTGGATCTCTGTACCACTCCACTCTTCCTGCTATCTTTGACAAAAACTAGATCAGGCCAAAAATAGAATACTATTGCCATATATGGGCAGGAGTTAACCAATCTTCTCTTACCAACCTCAACAGAGTCCAAAAGCTTCCCTGCATCCTGGTGGGTAATGAATTATTTTCCACTCTACAACCCCTTTCCCACAGACGAAATGTCACAAATCTCTGTGTGCTCTATCACTATTTCCATGAATTCCACCAGTTCTAACTTTCACAGCTAATACCCGCTATGTTATGCACATTGCAGTACACCACCATAATTTATATTCCATTGGGGAGATGTAATTTCCTCTCAAGTAGCTTCTTGCCATGAACCACTGCTTTGTGGGACAGACTTTACCAATCACTACAATCTTAACCTGTTCAAGTGTAGGATTAAATGTTACCTTCCTTACATAGTCGAATAAACTGTGTCCCTTACTCTGTAACCCTCCACCTCAAATGCTTGTACAGGATGAACATTATCATTATATATATATATATATATATATATATATAAAAAATATAGTCTTAAGGTGTGCTATATTTATGGGATAAAGTGCTCAATATCAGAGATAGAGCGTGTGTAAATATAAAAGTGAACATAGAAGTCAACACTTAGAGGTGACAGTCTATTTCATGCTATATGCAATCGTCCAGGCCACGTGTGCTGTTATTTTTCTCGGCTATTTATATATATAATGGTTAGTGGTGCATTGTGGGTATTCTATTATGGCGGTTATTTTTACCGAAGTCGCTTTTGTTCATTTATTTGGGTCAAGTTATATTGCTCGTTTTTATTTATTTTTTATTTTATTTTATTTATTTATTTATTTATTTTTTTTTTTGTTTCTTATTTTATTTATTTATTTATTAACGTAGTAAAAATTTGTTTATATCACGTATTTAACAGTTTTGTTTTTGGTTTGAGAATTTAATTAAAGCTATTTGTTCAATTTTGGGGTTGGTTGTTGTAGTTCATTCTAACTATTATTTTTTTTGGCGGAACAGTTTTTAATTTGGGATTGGTTTGCCTATTTATTTACTTGGATGAATTTAGGTCAATTTATTTTTATATTTTCTCTTTTTGGTTTTCGGTTTTTAAGCAACATAGTACTTATTTATTTTATTTATTAATTTATTTATTTATTTTTTTTTTTTTTTTTTTATTTATTATTATTATTGTGTTTTATTTTTTTTTTTTTTTCATTTTTTTTAGGTTACGTAGTAAAAATTTATTTTCATGCCTGCATTTTGAGATGAGCTCGGATCTTTTATTTAATAATTTATTTTGGTCGGGGAAAGTAATGATAGCTATTTTTCCTCCAAGCAAAGTTTGCAAGTTTTTGATTGGTTGTTGTAGGCTGATGACTTTTTCCTTATCTTCCAAGATATTTTTGGTGTGATGTGCGTTTTGTTTTTTATTTCCCAGATATACTTAGAAAGCATAGTACTGTTCGATATTTACTATTTGTGAACGATGTTTTGTGTGTATAATTTCTTTGCTTCCAGGGTCCTTCAGTTACTCCTATGTATACTTTTTCTTCGTTATCTGGTGATTTTATCGTGGCTTGGTATATTACGTTGTTTTGTAGACAATTTCCGTTTAAGGGACATTCGTTCTTTATTCTGCAGTTGCACGTGGGTTTAATTTGTTCGTGTGGTTTGTTGATAATTTTCCTATTGTGCTTTTTTTATTATTTGTGCCATGCTCTCGGTGCAGCTGTAGCTGATTTTTACTGTATTTTTGTTGAATATCTTGTGTAAGGTGCTTGATTCTGGGAAGTGTTTGTGTAAGAGTTTGAAGAATATTTTTCCTACGTTTGTTTTTACGTTCTTGCTGTACGGTGGGTTGAACCATATGATATTTCTTCTCCTGTTGGTCTTTTTTTGTATTCTGTGGTGAGTATGTGAGTATTGCTGGGAATCCGCTATCTTTTAGGGCCGTTTCATAGTCTTTTTTAGCTTTGTTAAATAGGGATTCATTGGAGGAATTGTCGGAGAGCCTGCGGTTAATCGATTTTGGTATCTGTTTGATTATAGAAG